TTGTAGTATGGAATATTGACTTGTGGGATCGAATCTTAGTCATGATTTTGTTACATGCGTGCTTGGAAATAGGCCCTTTCTATTCAGATTTATTTCAACTTTATCACGTTGATATATATAAATAAATAACTATTCTTTTTTCATTAAGATGAATTAGGTTTGGATCTAAATATTAACAGGAATTTGAGTTTCATTAAACTCGTATATATATATATATATAATGTGGATTCAATATAAAAAATAATAAAAAATCTTTTAATGTTATTTATTAATGTTGTCCGATATCGTTATATTTAATATGATATAATATAATAGCTAAGATAATAAATATAGATATATATATGTATGTATATGTATGGTACATAGAGATAAATATTACTCCCTCCGTCCCCGATATTTTGTCCGTGTTACTGTAGACACGGGAATTTAGAAGAGATATAATGAATAAATAATTAAAAATATATTAGTGAAAATAATTATCGTACAATAAAAATAATTATAAATTAAGATTAAGATAATTGATTAGTATCATTAAAATTAAAAAAAATTATAAATTAAATTTTTAAAAATGAGATTAAAGTGTATAATTATTTTCCAAAAAAGAAAAGTGATAAAATAAGTGGGACGGACGGAAATGAAAATGTATATATGAGAAGTGGGACGGAAAAAGTATATAACAAAAGTATGGGTATATATATTTGTATATTTTAAAAGAGAAAATTAATAAGCATGTAGTGACATTAAAGAGAATTATGTAAGAGAGGATTTTTCATTCACACCCTTAAATGTTTTTTTATAGGTATTTTACAATTTTGATTAATCGATTATAGTTGATGATTTGATAATATGTAACAAAGTTGACACATGTTGGGATTGGGTCAACTCAACACTAGTATGATATTGTCCGCTTTAGGCTGAACCCGCACAAATTTGTTTTTGGATATTCTCCAAAAGGCTTCATCCTAGTGGAGTTCACTTGGAACTTATAAGGTGTATAATTTTTTTTACAACTTCCAATGTGGGACTTGACTTTGCACCCCAACAATACCTATGAATGATAGATGAGTAATAACACTTCATCTTAAGTATCATTAACTACAATAAATATGTTTTGTTAAAATTTTACTAAAAATAAACTCAGTGCAACAAAAATTCTAGTAAAGAAAAAAGAATGTGTAATTTATACTTTTAAAATTGATCTCCATGGTGTGGACATTACTTAGTCGAAGCATTCCGATGCTCTTCACCAATTTTTCGAATGTGTCGGTAAAGTTATTGTTAATAAATCTGCTAAATTCTCATTTGATCAAATATACACATTTATTTTACCATTTTTTTTTTTAAGATCATGAGTACTAAAATTTTTTGGTGAAATATATTTTGTTGTATCTTCCTTAATATATTCATTTTTCAGCTGAGCTATACAAGTTGCATCATCTTCATATAAAATAATATGAGGATTATCATTTTTTATATCTCAAACTACAATTTTTTAAAATATGGTGAATCATTGATCTCAACCAGATTCTCTCGACTAGCCTCATGAATTACTATTATTTCAGCATAAATTGAAGATATTGCAGTCAATATTTGTTTAGTGAATCTCCAAAATACTACAATACCGCCACAAGTAGATATATATCCATTTTAAGACTTGACTTTATGTGGGTCAGAAGATACCAAACATCTGCATCTCCGATCAATTCATGTCGAGATTTTTTTTCGAAAATAAACCGAGATCAATCGTTCTTTGGAGATAACGAAAAATATATTTAATGTCTTTCCAATGTTGTTGTATTGGCATTACTAAATCTTGCCAATAAATTTACACCAAATACTATATCACTACAAGAAAACTATTTCTTGGCAACTTGGACAACTTATAACGCGGATGCTTCGGATATAGCCGTTGTATCTGCAATGATATCATTTTAGTAACGAAATATTTTCGTCTTTAAATCTATTTTTTTCGTTACTAATAACATTAGAGACGGAATTAAGAATGGAAATACGTTAGCAACGTGAACTTTAGGAACGAAATTCCGTTACAAATATATTATTATTTTTATAGTATTGTACTGGTTAGCTATATATACTAGTGAGCCAATAACACTTAAATATGATACTTCAAGACCAAGTGTTTCTTCATTCTCTTCTTTTGGTCTAAAAGAATCCTTGATAGGATAAAAAGTTTTAACAACTATTGAAGTACTTAATGAATGTGTTTTATCCATTGCAAATTGTTTAAATATATATCTTCTAGGCATATGGAGATTGATGAACAAAAATTTTACTTTTCAAATATTAAAGTTGTAGACCAAAGCAAAATTTTATTTTTCTGAAATCCATGATTTCAAACTCCATTTTTAAGTAGTCAATAACTTATTGGACTTTTTCAAAGGCTCCAATTAAATTTAAATCATTCACATAAATATTTGTAATTATAAATTTTCATTTTTCTTTATAAAAATACATTGACAAACAAAATTATTGGCATATACTTCTTTCAATAATGATTCAATAAGACGATTATATACATGTAGCCAGATTGCTTGAGCCCGTATAAAAACTTTTATGATTTAATAAAATACATTTTTTTATTTATATGCATCAAACATATTAAATAATCATGGATATTCATATGTCTAATGAACCATATAAATAAGTCGTTACGACATCCATCAGATGTATATCCAAATTTTCATGAACTGCTAATCTAATAATATATTGAAATATTATTCATTCAATAAAAATATATTTTGTTAAAATCAATTCTAGGTCTTTGTGAAATAATTGGGCACCACAACTCTTGCTTTGTATCCGACAATGTCATTGCTCTCATTTTATTTTCGAACAAATATTAATTTATAGCCAACAGGCTTAACATCTTTAGTTTGAATAATGAGTCCAATTTTTTTTTTTTATTTTGCCAGTAAATTTAATTTAGATGGATCGAATCTTTCTATTTTAATAATCTTTCATTTTATCACATTCATCAATTGATCTAGGTTCAGAATTATCGTCATTTTTTACTAGATCGAGTGTTACATCCGTAAGGGATGGTCTGATGGTGTGGGGGTGGACTCATGACCTTACGGTCTTGAGTTCAAACCCCCGACGCTTCCAGGTCCACCTGTCACACATGGTTCGCCTAGTGTGACTTATCTTGTAGGGCTTAGTTTGCAGGGTACTAGGTTCGGCCGAGATTTTACTCAGAGCGCACTCATAGAGTAGCGGTTGTGGGTTCCTACGTATCAAAAAAGAATTATATTTATGCAAAAATATCATCCATAAATATTTTCCAGTAATAATATAATTTATTAAATTTTCAATAATCTCATTCTCTTCAGGAGAAAGTTTATTATGATCAACTTAAAAAATTTGATCCATGTTACTACTTGTTTTTTTTAAGATTTTTATCAACATTCAATTGCTCAACCTTTTAATATGGCTTTTTTTTTTTTTTTTTTCTTAAAGGATTTTTCTCTTTGAAACCTAAAAGTTCGTCACGCTTCATATGTCTATTTGACTCATTAGCACTTTGCATTGCTCTTCAGGGACAATAATTGTAACCGGTGCATACTTTAAAGCAATATAAGAGCTGGCCGACACGTGGATTTTTTTTTTTAATTAAAAAGAAATATTTTTTATAACTTTATAAAAAAAAATTAATATATATTTTTAAAATTTTATTTTTTAAAAAACTAATAATAAAAAAAAAATTCATGTGTTCGCCAGGTGACAGTTACTTGGCGGACATGTGTCATTCGACGTACCACATGGATGTCACGTAGCCATCTTCGGCGCTGGAGGACTAAATATGCGAAAAAATTTCAATTACAGAAGTATGTTAAGACAACCTTTAGTTAAGAGATTAAAATGATAAATGAGTCCATTTACTGGACTAAAAAAATTTTTATTCATAGATATATAATATATATACGCAATGTATGTTATATATTATATCACATACATATACAAACTGTGTATATATACACAGTTATATTAAAGGGGTGCGTCGGGGCTGGGAAGCAAGGGCCGGCGATCCCGGCCTCCCCATCTATTGTTATGCATGTTTTGCTTTTGGTAGAATGACTGATTTCAAATAGTCAAATTGATATTTTAAATTTGTTCCTAATTCAAGTGGATTTTTACGATGAGATACTCTATTTTTAGAGTTTTGTCAATATGATGATGAAGAAATATCATTGTCTTTGCACGTTTTTTTTTTTGTGCATTTATTCTCCTTAATGCTGCAAGCTCCAAAGACTCAATGTGCATTTCGACATCCATCACTAACAGCGTATAATTACTTCCGGTAATAGCTAGTTGGATAATTCAATTTTTGTTTTTTTTAGATTAGTCATCATTAAATTGAAAATAGTTATTTTAATACCAAATAGTTTGAAAAGATTTTTGCAAAATATGAAGTGTATAATTAATAAATTTTAAAATATAATTAAAATATATATTATAAGTTTTTTTTTATTTTTTTAAAAAGATAAATTATGTAAAACACGAAATAAAAAAATAATAATTCATGTGAGATATAAGAAATACATAATTTAATTTAAACAAATTATTTCACGAAATAAATAAAATATACTATAATATTGTATTAATCTTTACTAAAAAAAAAATATTATGCAATTTATCGTAAAATTTATAATGAAAATAGTCTACTTACTCACACTTTTCCAACATGCTGCCAACCTGTAAGTGTGAAATAAATAAAATTTTATAACGTTCCAAAATCATTACCACCACACCACTACTATCCTTTCTATTCATATTATTTTTAAATTAAAATAATAGACACACAAATTAAATTCCTAATTTCAAGGCGCCTCCGATGATTGCCCGCCACCTCACCACTCTCATTGCACGCCTGTTCTCCACGTGTACCACTCTTCCCATAATACCCTTCTACGTCGCTCTTATTTACTGTCTCTGCCACCGGCCGTTACATATATACCCAGTGCACTGCTGCTACGTTTAGAGCATCTTTACTATTCTTTTTTTTTTTCCGCTTCAAATTTTCCTCTGCTTTTCTGAGGAAGAAAAATGGCTGCGGCAGGGATCAGATTTGCGCTATTCGGTGTGGTTTTTGCGCTGTATGTTGCGGTGACTTCGGCGGCGCATTCTGCGCCGGCGCCGGCAGTTGATTGCTCTAGCCTGGTGCTGAACATGGCCGATTGTCTATCGTTTGTTTCGGCTGGAAGCACGACGGCGAAGCCGGAGGGAACGTGCTGCTCCGGACTGAAAACGGTGCTGAAAACCGGCGCGGAGTGCCTCTGCGAGGCGTTTAAGAACAGCGCGCAGTTAGGCGTTACGCTTAATGTGAGCAAGGCGTTGAGTCTCCCCGACGCCTGCCATGTCTCTGCTCCTTCTGTTAGTAATTGCGGAAGTGCGTTTCGATATTCCCTGCTTGCTTCAGTTATTTAATATATAATACCCCTGCCTGGGGACTCTGGCTTTTCGAATTGATTAATTTCTGTGAGAGCTAGTTTTGTGGTTGTTTAGGTCTAACCGTTTCATTTTGGTTGTGTTTATTTGCAGTGAGCGTTGGAAACGGCGCCGCTCCAGGTAAATTTCTCGTCTACATCGCCTTATGCGTTTCATGATTTGAGATTCTGCTGAATCGTCTCGAAAATTCCTGTGTGATTTGCTGGTCCCTTACTTATATTTCATCAACTCAGATTTGAAAAACGTATCGGATTTCCTTGTTTGTATGAAATTAAAGCTATGTTAGTGTTGAATTTTGATTGTTTATGGTATATATATATGATATTGTATGACAGCTCTGTCGCCACTGGCCTTATCTCCTACTGCGGCGGCGAACGTGGGAGGTCCTGCAGCTGCACCGGCGGCGGCGCCTGCAGGCAGCGAGAGCGGCGCCGCGACGGGGTCGTCCCCGCACAGTGCGAGTGGTAGCAGGTCCATGAAGGTTTTGCTTCTGGCCATGGCGGCTGCTCTATGCTTTACTTAATTTGTTTGGGTATTGAAAGAAAGAAAAAATGATGTGATGTTTTGCTGTCTGTGAGAATTATGAGTACATAGAGGAGGAGGCGAATAGGCAAAACCCAATTTGAGCAGTTTTCTTCACTCGCTGCTGTTGTGATTATTATTATTATTATTATTTTGAATAGTATTTAATTTGATGGTAAAGAGTAGGGGGGCGTGACATGAGGAGGATTTCACATTGATCAATGATGATGGTCTGTATTTTTTTTATTTCGTCTTCAGCTTTTGCCTTTTTTGGATGTGGTTTTGAGTTATTATGATTATAATAAACTTTTATTTCGTTTTATGCGAATAAGCGTGGTCTGATGTTGATGGTCAACATCTTTTTCTTTTAACGGCACCATAAAAAAAATAATCATAACAATAATAATGATTGCAATAAAATGACTTATATATATATATATATATATATAAAAGAGTACATGCTGATAACCATGTCGGATTAGGATCGATTATGAATTTAACTACCTTAGAAAATTTAAAAAATGTTCTGCTTGTCCGACAAAATAAGTCACGTTAGATGAACTATGTGTTGAGAGTTTGAATCTATGACTTCATGGTGATGAATCCACTTCTGCGCCTCGTGTGGAGGAGCATGAAGAGGTCAAATCCTTGTAATTCAAGTGGTGAGACATCCTTCACTTGAGGGTTGAGTTTCATGTTGGATCCTTGGATCTTGGGTGGGTGCGCATATGTTGGATGAAATTTTCGCTGGGTGTGAATGTGTGCGTGTGTAAAAAAAAAAACAAGAAGATTTTTTTTTTATTATTTTATTATATTTTTAATGGTACAATTTGAAAAACTTAGTATACAAGGAGTGAGTTTTGGTGGAATAAAAAGAAACTATTATAAATTTTCAAAATATTGCTTAAGGTTAGAATTTACACCAAAAGAAGAACGATAACCGACAACAAATTGAGAAAATCTTACTAACATTAGCTCACTTGAGAAGATATAAAAAGAAGAAATTAATAAAAGTGTTTCTAGAACTTTCAAATGAGATTGAAATGACAGGCAAAAAAAAATACAAATATTGATATTGAAGCCCAGCGTCAATGATTAAATTACCGTGCACCTCTTAGCAATTTACTCCGTTGGCTACTAAGATAAGTTTTTTGACTCACTAAGCATCCACAAAAGCCTAAAGCTTTTTAGAAAGAGAGAGAGAACTAGAAATAGTACGAAGAGAAACTTGTGAACATTTGATTTCAAGAATGCTTAAATGATACAAATAAGAGGAATAGAGGTCCTTTGTATGCCAAAAACTCCACCAAGACTACCCTAGAAATTTTAAAATATACAATCATCAAAGTTATATGTACAACAATCTAAAATAGTCCATAAAGTTCTAAGGTCCTTCCGAATGATCTACCATGTTTCGCCACATTACGAAAGAATTCTGGAATATTCTCAAGGTTAAAACCTTTCATCAAGTTTAAGTGAAGTCTTGCACAATTGAAGGCTTTGAGTATGAAAAACCATAGTATTGTGACATTTATTTTGATTCTCTGGACACGAAATAATTATATCATACAAATCTATATGGAAACAATTGTTAAAAGCAAAATGCCATGTTGGGACAGGGCTTTAATGATAGTAGAAATTTTTATTTTTATTTTTTTTTAAAAAAAAATGGGTGGTAAAGGACTAAAATATGACTCTCCAAGCTTATCTTCAATCCTATAAATTTGATAGTGACAACGTTTCTCTCGACCAAGCCATCAATAAGGAATCAATTCAAGATATGTAACCAGGTACAACAACCAAAATTACAAGAAATAATATCTATTGTAGATGACTTGTTGAATGAAATAGAAATTATATATTTGCAAAAAACAAATGCGGAAAAGTAGATAGATAGACAAGCAAGATAGAAGAACATCAAATGGAGAAAACCATCAAATAAACCAAAATGGAAAGTGAAAAAGAAGGGAAAAAAAAGAACTAAAAGAATATCCAAAAGGCTATCAAACTGGAGAATATTTGGTTCCGTAGTCTACATACACCTCCCGGCGTTACCTCAAGCAATGTTTGATGATCATGGGGAAAAGACTATTTTTATCAATTATACACATGGATGATACAAATATTTAGATAAATTTATCATCTGTAGAAACATCATTTTTATGAAGATACATATACTTCTCATAGTGGAACTCATAGTATGACCGAAGAAATTATACAAGCTAATATTGCAAATGAAAGGATGAGGTTCCAACGACAACTTCCAGTTATACTACATGACTATATATATATGATAAATTTTGATGATGTCATTGCTAGATGAAGATATGGTACATACGACTATATATGTATGCAGATTAAGGACTTGTCATAATAAAAGATTTTAAATTAGTGAATGGTTGGAGGAGGAAATAAATAAATTTCATTGAGAAAAACCATATTTGAAAGTTCAGCTTGATAGAGCATGTTGATTTTCTTTCTATTTTGGTAAATGAGAAGGCCATTGTGCTGACCATAGCGCAGCTTGAGTTTCTGCCATAGTTCGTGACTTGTCTTGATGAGACTAAACGCAATTGTGATTTGTGGAGAGATTGAATTCAATAGCCAGCCGAGTACCATACAACGTTCCTTTCCCATTCTAAAGTAGCTATTGGATCATTAGGTCGCTTGATTTTTCCAATCACAAATCATTTTCTTCATTTTTCCGAAAGAACTCTCAACACAACTGTGCTCCAAATCAAATAATTTGTTTCCGTAAGTTGAAGACGAACAAGGCTCATGTTAGGTTGGTCGTGAGAAGAAATTTTCAGGTGCGCCATGGACAAATTTAGTGTGCTTCCGGGAGAGAAAAAGAATGTGAGAACAAAATCTCCAAAATAAAGAATGTGAGAACATACTTTAGAGGTGAATTTACTTCCTAGGCTTTCAAAAATCTGTTACAAGATAATGAAGTTGGTCACTACGAGTCTTGTCCTTACACTTCACAGCAGAATGGTAGAGTAGAGAGAAAACATCAACACTTAACCTCAATTGCTCGGACATTGCTTGTTCAGGCTAATCTTCCTACTAATTTCTAGGTAGGGATTGTTCTGACAACCACCCACTTGATTAATCTCCTTCAGTCCTATGCTAAATTAGATATCACATTATGAGGTCTTACATAACAGGAAATCTGATCTTGATAGACTACGAGTCTTTGGATGTCTATGTTTTGTTTATAACACATATCCTATAAGGGACAAGTTTAGTAACAGATTAATTAAGGGTGTCTTCATGGGTTATGAAAATGAGTAAAAGGTTAAAAGGTTTTTATCCCTTCCACCAGAATGTTCTTGATCTCCAAAATTGTGGTTTTATTTGAACCAGTGTTTCCTGGATTAAGTCGTCCTGTATCTATCTCTAACTCTTGTCCTTCTCCTACGGTTGGCCATGAGGACAAAAAATCTGTCTCGTGATAAGTTCAATACTCAAAAACTGCAGACACTCCTTCTCCTACTCAACCTACTTCTGAGTTTTCTTCACCTTTGGTTATGGAATCTTCCCTTCCTATTACTACAACAGCGGAGCTACCATCTATGCCAGATGTTGAATTTTCCTCTTCTACTATTACATTAGCTGAACTATTATCTACGCCACCAACTACACGGCCCCACAATAAGGTTAAGAAACTTGGTTAGCTCAACCTCTCATGTTGAAGCTGCAGGAAATACTTATTAAATACAAGCTATGCAAGATGAACTTGATGCTCATGAGAAGAACCATACATGGGATGTAGTTGCACGGCCCAAAAACAAAAAGGTTATAGGATGAAAATGGGTATACCGAATTAAAAGGGACAAGATTGGTGCAGTTTCTCGATACAAAGCCTGGTTTGTCGCCAAGAGCTATCTTTAGGAGCAAGGGAAAGACTTTCATAAAAGCTTTGCACCGGTGACAAAATGCACTACAATCCGATTGCTCTTGGCCATTGGTATTGCTCAATGGTGGCTTATACAGCAGGTTGATGTCAATAACGCCTTTTTGCATGGAACTCTCGGCGAGGGGTTCTATTTCCAATCTCCTTCAGGGTACTAAGTTCCTCTCAATCAGTATGTAAATTTAAAAAGTCGTTGTATAAGCTTAAACAAGCCCCGATTTTTTTAAAAACTCGTATCCAGTAAATTGGACATACTTTTATGACGGAGGGAGTGAATTATTTTATTTATATTTATTTTATACTTTTAAAATTAGAAAAAAAAAAGTGTTATAAAGTTATTATTATGATAAACTCATATTAATATGTAAACTAACTAAAATCAAATATAATATAAATTAATATAATATGCTAGTTTTATTATAAAATATTATATGTATATATTTGGAATTATTAAACAGATAATATATATTATAATAGTTTTGCATATTATAATCATTAAGACATAAAGATAATTTTTCTTGTCAATTTTTTCATTTTATTTTTCTTATTTTTATCTACTGATATATATATTATAAATTATTAAATATTAAATCGTGAATATATCCATGTAAATCAGTGGAAAATAAATATCTTCAAAAAATTTAAAAATCCATACATATAATCGTTTTTAATATATATTTCTATGAAAATATCAATGGAAATAATAATTAATGCTTAATTGCATTATAACAATGAAATGGGGGAAAAAAATCCTTTAAATACTGAAATATAATCATACTACAATATACTCTTCCATAAAACATACAAAATGTCTCGCCTTAGCATATATTTGGTGTTCCTCACAATATTTTGTATGTATAGTGTTTTCGAGGCAGTAGAGATAATTATTAAGTGCGACGAAGCATCGTGCAAAAAAATATGTGTAGATAAATATGGAAAATCGTTAATAAGATCGTATTGTCAAGACGTCCCCATATTTCCTGGTAAAAAAATCTGCGTGTGCCTACATTCAGATGCATCGGGAAAAGGCTCGCCTACTCCAACTCCTATTAATCCGCCACATTAAATATGTATATATATATACTTATATCGATATATATTATTGTCTTGCCAAGGCTATAATTTATTTCGTCATGATATTGTATGTCCAGAAAATAATACATATTGTTGAATGATTATTGTTCTGGTTGGTTTACTATATTTTAAATTTTGGTGTTTTAATCTATATATATATATATATATTTATTTATTTATTTATTTGCAATGAAAAATTACAAACCGATTGATTATAAAAATATTACCATGAAGATCAAATGTTAAATTTAATTTGATTCAATTAATTTAAAAATTGTCAATTTGATCGATTTGTTTCTCTTATTAATTATTATCATGTTTGTAACTATTAA